GTTACTGTCACTGGGAATTGTGACCACTATTTGCATTTTGATTAATCTTTACAATATTGAACACTAAGTTGGAGCAAATTGAATATTATTTCTTGTGCAGGACAAAAAGTTGCAGTCATTCAGTACAAGAAATAAACTGCAGACACAAACAGTAACACCACAAAAAAGGAAAAAGTTCATGGATAGTGCCACTGTCAGCCGAAGTCCCACTCAGTGCTTCTGAATTTCAGCTTGTATCTTTCCATGCATACCGAGGTGGAGACAATGTTTCCTGGGAGATGTTCCTCTCCACAAATAACTTAATTATTCTTAATATCAGATTGCCCGCACAGCTTTGACATGCGCATGCAATCCTTTTCATGCCTTGACCTCTTCTCTATGGCTCCCCTACTCTTCATTTAGATTTCCATTGGTCAGTTCTAGATCACTTCCCTATAGTGACCACTTCCCAGTACTCCTCTTTTCTACTTCATATGTAGCACTTCCCAATCCCCCACGCTGGTGCTTTGATAGAGCGACTGGCCAAGTTTCACTTCACTCTTTACTATACCTATCATTCCACCCCCTCACCGCCCATTTCAGATATGCTACAATGTTTTACAAACAACACGATCCTAAGAGCTGCATATACAGCCATTCCTCGAACTTCAAGACCTTATACCTCTAAATGTGTTCCATGGTGGAATTCTGATTGCACCAAAGCGCTTCGCTTAAAATGAGCAGCCTGGAACAGCAATCGCTACAAACGAGGCAAACCACTCACCAGTTATTATCCCTTATCTCCTTTAAAAGAGCATCTGCCCATCTTTGCCATACAATCAGAAACAATAAAACAAATAGCTGTTTCCTCAATTACATCATCTACATCTATTTCAGCTGTTTGGCGACGATCCATAAATTATTAGGCAAACTTCCCCCCATCCTGCACCCGTCCTCCATATTCAAGATACTCTCATTTCTAAGCCTGTTAAAGTAGCTAATGACCTGGGCAACTATTTCAGCCAGGTCAGTAGTGGCTCTCACCTTTCCCGACACTTTTCTTCCATTAAAGCCATTAAGGAACACACCCCTATCACCTTCAGCCTATCCTCTGATGAGTCCTATAATGCTCCTTTCTCCTCTTCTGAACTCAGCATGCATTATAGTTGTGCTGGCAACACTCATGGAGACCTTGATGGTATTCATATCATATGCTCCTGTAGCCGACCCCCGCAACCTGCAGCGCGGCATACTTCCCCCAGGTTGGGTCAGGTCCACAGCCTGTCCTCTCGCCCTCACCATCAGCAGCTTCTCGACGACGCATACCGAGACCTGATTGGTTGACCAGAGACACCTCACGGCTCGCCTATTGGACCGCAGGCTCCCCTCTTTCCCGGTGGCTGGCATAGCTCAGACCCACTTAAGCTCCTGCACCGGGCCGAGTTCAGCACTCACAATCCTCCAGCCGAGCAAGACACAGCCAGCAGCAACAAGGCCTACCCTGGCTTTAGCCGACGGGTGAGCCGCCCCAACTCTCCCCGTCGATCTCCAGCACACCAGCTCCTTAAAGAGATGATTGACACCAGTCTATGGTGGATGCAAATCCATTGCCATACTGGTGACTTTCCGGAGTGACACAAATACCCAGCCTTCTGGAGTATCACGGTTATCGCTTGCTCGCTTAGCTCCCTCACTGGAGGGGAGTACCTGTAACCAACCCCCACAACCTGCAGCACGGCATACTTCCCCAGGTTGGGTCCAGGTCCACAGCCTGTCCTCCGCCCTCACCATAGCGGATGGCTCTCCCATCGATCTCCAGCACACCAGCCATACCTGTGGGCACTCACACCCACACCCAGAAGCTCCTTAAAGAGATGATTGACACCAGTCTAAGGCAGATACCAATCCATTGCCATACCTCCGACACCTCCCATCTTCCTCTCTATACTTCCTTTTAACTATTTTCAACCACATATGGACGTCAGGAAATTTTCCTTCTCATTGGCGAGAAGCTCTTATCCTACCTTTCTTAAAACCCAATAAATCAGGTACCCTACTCCAAGATTACCGCCCCATTGCTCTAACTAGCTGCTTGTGCAAGCTACTAGAACGAATGGTTAACTTCCGCTTAATGTGGTATCTTGAATCTCGTAATCTCCTTTCTCCTTCCCAGTTTGGTTTCCGCGTGCCCGAAGTACAGCAGACCCACTTGCCCATTTCGAGACATATTACATCTGCATTTGCACGCCATGAATCTGTATTAGCCATATTTTTTATCTAGAAAAAGCATATGATACCACATGGCATACCATATCCTCCAACAATTGTCCTCCTAGGTTTACGTGGAAACATGGTGTCTTCATAAAATCTTTCCTTTCTAAACATACTTTCCAGGTCAAAATTGCCTCTTCCACGTCATCATCCTTTCCTCAGTTCGAAGGCATCCCACAAGGAAGTGTACTTAGTACCACTTTATTCCTTCTTGCTGTAAATGACATTGTCTCAGTCCTACCACCAGGAGCCCGGGCATCACTATATGTTGATGACTTAACCATCTATGCATCTGGCACATCCATACCAGATCTCTGTCAATTCCTTCAGTCTGCAATAACATCAGTAACTTCTTGGGCCACTAACCATGGCTTTCGCTTCTCTACCTCCAAATCTTTCCCCATCCTTTTCTCTCGCTCACGTATAGGTCCCAAACCCCACTCTTTTATATAACGCTCCACTCCAATACCGTTCTTCTGGCAAATTCCTAGGCGTTATTTGATCCAAATTGTCCTGGCGAGACCATATCTTGTATTAAAGAAAAAGCTCAATGCTGCTGGGGCTCAGATCGCAAAACTCTCCTCCATCTTCATGTTACCTTGATCCTCTCCACTCTAGATTATGGATGCCATATCTACTCCTCTGCCTCAACCTCTCTTCTTGCTCACCTTGATACAATCCACCACAGCGGTCTCCGCTTAGCCCTAGGCGCCTTCCGCTCCTCTCCAGTTGAGAGCCTATATACTGAATCAGGCATGCCGTCCCTCTCTCGACGTCGAGCCCTTCTCTCTCTCCGATGCTATGCTCGATTTCACCCTTACCAAACTAACTATTCCACAATCCTTACTTCATACCTTTACCTCTTCTCCACGTTTACCAACTCCTCTCCCCGTACGCATGGATACCCTCCTCTCCATTCCCCCTTCCCTCATCTCCGACCTCTCCCACTGTTCTGTCCATTCCATTCCTCCATGGCTTATACCTAACCCCTGTATTTGCTCCTCAGTTTTCCCTGACCCACCAAAATCAGATATTCCCCCCTCTATCCTTCTCACTCATTTCCTTGACCATGTCTCCATTCATTCCTCCAGCATTCATGTTTACACTGACGGTTCCAAATCCATCTCAGGAGCTGGATTCGCAGTAACATTCCCAAATTGCACTTTCAAATACACCCTCCCTCCTGAATCTAGTGTCCTTACTACAGAACTATATGCACTCCTTTTTGCCTTAAGACGCATATACTCATCCCCTCTTCCTCTTTTACTATTTTTACTGACTCCCGTAACTCTTTAACCCTCATAAAGTCTATGCACTCGACCAATCCCCTTGTCTGTAAGATCCAGAACTGGTTGTTCTATCTATCCACACGTCACAAATCTGTCAGATTTTGCTGGGTACCCAGCCATGTTGGAATCCCTGGCAATGAACAGGCAGATACTCTTGCACGATATGCCGCAATGTCCACATCACCTCAACACGCTTCTCACATATTCCAGCTACGGATTATTACCCCCACTTTAAAACCTTCTTGTATACCCGATGGCAATCTTTGGTCAAGCTCCACAATAATAAATTACTACTGTAAAACCATCAATCTCCTCTTGTCAGCTCCATTTCACAAAACAGACGTTGGGAGATGGCCCTCACACGCTTACGTATTGGCCACACTCGCCTAACACATCCTATCTAATGTCACGCTCAGACCCGCCCCTATGTCCTCTATGTAATGTCCCTCTTTCAGTCCACACATTTCTTGTCCTGTCCACGCTTTAATACAGCACGTACCTCTGCTTTTCCACACCTATCCTCCCTTCACCGACCTCCCAACATATCAGACATCCTTACAGAATCCCACAGCTTTGCCTTGACAACCTGTTCTCCTTCCTCAGACGCATAAATATCTTCACTTGATCTAACTCCCTTACCTAAACCACCATAACCTTTTCCCTCATCAACCTTCAACTTCAACTTTCAATATTCTAGATAGTTGACACATAGCAACTATCACCTGACATCCCCCTTTACTATACCTTCCTATAGTGCTATATGACCTTAGATGTCTAGCACATTTATTTCGCTTTTAACCACTAAACCATTAACCATCTGTCCACATGTCATAAATCTGTCAGATTTTGCTGGGTACCAGCCATGTCAAAATCCTTGGCAATGAACAGGCAGATACTCTTGCACGCTATGCCGCAATATCCACATCACCTCAACCACGCTTCTCATATATTCCAGCTATGGATTATTACTCCCACTTTAAAACCTTCTCATATACCGATGGCAATCTTTTTGATCAAACCTCCACAATAATAAATTACACACTGTAAAACCATCAATCTCCTCATGTCAGATCCATTTCGCAGGAACAGACGTTGGGAGACAGCCCTCGCATGCTTACGTATTGGCCACACCCACTTAACACACGCCTATCTAATGTCACACTCTGACCCGCCCTTATGTCCTTTTGTAATGTCCTTCTTTCAGTTCCACACATTCTCTGGTCCTGTCCACGCTTTAATCCAGCACATACCTCTGCTTTTCCACACCTATCCTCACTTTACCAACCTCCCAACATATCAGGCATCCTTACAGAATCCAACAGCTTCTGCCTTGACAACCTGTTCTCCTTCCTCAGATGCATAAATATCCTTCATTTGATCTAATTCCCTTACCTAAACCACCATAACCCTTTCACTCATCAACCCCTTACCCATCTTTATCCTTTCAACATTACTCTAGATATGTCTAGGTATGTCATAAGCTTCATCCTGTTGTAAGTATGTGGAGGATGTTTGGTATTATAGGGCAGGGGTAGGAGTAGGTAACCCTCGCAGGTGTAAGTATGTTATTTTATATTTTACACAGCAGTTTCCCTCCACACCCTCTGCTACTAATAGGGCCAGTTTTGTGGGGTAATGGGAAGGGCATTCAAAGGGTAGTAGAGGGTGAGAGGAATCCATTGGTACCATTATCATCATGATCAGGCTTGTGTAGGTATTCTGAACATTTTACCCACAGTCATTTCCCTGTGCAAGTCTCAAGTAACAAAAATGCAAGTACTATTATACATTGTTGCTAATTTAATTGTTGAAACTGATGGTAAAGACTCCCTGTTTAACTGTAAAACTTTTCAGACAGGCAATTTCCTATAAGAAAATATCATTTTATGTATGGAAAATGTGATAATATTTTTTGTTTTTTCATACTTTTGCATCCAGAACAACAATAGTTACTTATAGTTCTCAATCTCAATTTTCATCCAAAGAGCACTAAGTTAGCACACACATGTATGCAGTCACTTGCAGGGAATAGGGAAAACAATTAGGGTGCAAGTGGATTCTTTTATATGAATTTCATTTCTTGAAGTTTGTTGGCATTTGCTGGAGTACTAAAGGCATTGGGGTCATGGCAATAGTGGGACTTCTCAGGAGAGTATGGTCTTATGTTCAAGAATTTCTGTAACCCTGAATAGTGATAACAAGGTCATGTACATTATCGTTGGTCCTGATATCCTTCTCCAGAATGTTATAAACACTTGTTATAGTATACTTTTCAAATTAAATATTACACTTTGTTTTGTTAGACATTATAGTTTCCAAATGTTTTCTCATAAGTATATAAGCATTTTTTGAACAGTATATTTCCACATATTTCAACCAGCATTTCCTTGATTAACAGTTATAAATGTTCTCCTTTACAGAACAGGTTGTTTATTTCTTTGAAAAAGTTAGAATCACACAAGGAAAAACTATAGGAGAGTCTAGGGTTAAACTTTTACATATCACAGCAAGTAATTAGCTAAATTACTATTAAAGCTAGCCTTATTATGATTGTGATTGAATTTATTTTTATTTTCATCATGTTTATGTTGTTCCTCCTGTGCAGGTTTTTTTTCTTTGTTTTTTATTCAACTAATGTTTTGGATTTCAACTTCTCATTCTTATCCATTTTACAGTTGGACCATGTTGTAAATAAGACAGATAGTCTAGTTACTTTTATCAAATCAGTCTTATGTGTTATATTCTAATGCATTTTCCTCAGGATTAATCTTTGGTATTCACATATTGATGGTTTTGGACAAATTTTAACAAAATAGCAATCCACTACAAAGAGTAAAGTAATATTTCACACTTTTTCCCAATTAATTTCTAAAAGTTAGCAGAGTTATCTCAAAGAGCATTCTGCATTTTCCTGAAATTGCAGATGCTCAACTGTGTATTCAGTGATAGCAACCAAGAAATGCTGGTGTATGGACGGCAACCAGAAGGATGCTTAATTGCATCATATTTTATGTGATTTTATTTTATATGATTATGTGAAAAATATTTGGAAAAACTGTATTTGCTGCAAATTTTCCAAAGTTACAAACTGACCTGATACTTTTAACAGTTTGCATTTCCTTGGTAATTTATGAAATACAAAAAGACCAAGGACTTGATTGTTGTTGATTGTGAAATAATTGTTTCCCTCAAATTATTACAGATAGCCCATTTACTGAATATTCTTTTTATTCTCAATTTTTATAATCTCATCAGCATGGCACAAGCTCAGATTCAGCAGCAGCAACAGCAGCAGCAGCAGCAGCAGCAAAAAGTGCAACCAACAACTGACTTTGGTCCTGACAGTGGGGGAAGAATTAAGGTATGATGTGTTTCTTAAATCCATAGATGACTTATATTTTCTGTCTGAATTTCTTATTGTATCATTTCATAAAAAATACATGAGAGTAAATACTGTTTCTCATATGGTAAAATACCCTTCTGGATGAAATATGTTAATGAACTGAAGTAAACTGAAAATTCATATAATTAATATTTATTGAATTATTTAAACTTCCTTGTCCTTTCACCAGTATGCTAAAGAAAGATAAAAGCTTGGTAAAGGGAGGACAGATTATTTCCTGGATACTGCCAGTATCATTGGATACAGTCTAATTGTTTTGTATTAATTACAGGGTCTAACAATTGTGAAGCCTATAGTATATGGAATGTTGCTCGTTTTTTTGGCAAAAAGAGAGAGGAAGATGGGCACACTCATGAATGGACAGTTTATGTCAAACCGTATAACAATGAGGACATGTCTACATATGTGAAAAAGGTAATAGAGAATATAGATTATATATTTTTTAAATTATGCTTATTGCAGATCTTTGTTTTATATAAAAAAGCGTAATATATAATAAATATCACATAAAAAGTACTATGAATCTTCCAACAGGTCCATTTTAAGCTACACGAGACGTATGCCAACCAGAACTGTGTGTTGACAAAGCCGCCCTACGAAGTCACAGAGACAGGATGGGGAGAGTTTGAGATTGTCATCAAAATCTTTTTTCATGATCCAAATGAAAGACCAGTCAGTGATTTTTTTCTTTATTTTTTATGATCATTAATTCTGATGTCATTCTAATTGTTAGATGTTTATTTATTCTTGATAAGATTTAGATGTTATTGCTATTCCCTTTAACACTTTCATTTCACTCTATCAGACAAAGATGTTTAAATTGTGTATATTCATTCCCTACTGTTAGGATGAACAGTTAAGAAGTAATGTTCCAGATCAAATGGAAGTCAAATCTTCAATCTTCTAAGAATAGCATATAATATTAAAATGATAAAGTAACAAAACTGACAAAATGGAAAGAATAGCTCTACAACTTAAACCTTTGTACCTTGGTCAAAAGTGCTAAGTATAAATGAACTTTGCCTTTCAGGTAACCATATACCACATTCTGAAGCTGTTCCAATCTCCTCCTGGCACTACACCACCTGTCGTGTCCAGCGATTTCAAGAAGCCACTTGTGTCTGAATTTTACGAGGAGCTCATCTTCCAGGACCCCTCTGCCATGATGAGACAGCTGCTAACCAACACCCGACAACTGACTCTTGGAGAGTACACCCACGATACTGACTGTGAGTTTTGATTAAGGATTATACTTATTGGACTTTTGATGTTACATTCTTTGTTTCTTAGATTAATAGTTTGAATATATTTTCTGAAATATCACTAACTGGTAGCTTTGATTAGAGAATATTATCTATGAACAGTTATTCCAGAAAAAAGAAAAGGATAATTTTGTTCAAAAGGGTTAAATTGTATTCTGAATTAATTATGTGTTTTTATACTTTCAGTTGAAGACAAGAAGGAGAAGACAATAAAAAACTTATTAAATGCCAAGAGAAAATAGCAAATGAAATCATGGACTTGCGAGAGAAGATCAAACTTGCCAAAGACACAATTGGCAAGTTCAAAGAGGAAATTAACAAGTCACACTCAGAAATGTCTGTGGATGTATCAGGATTAACATGAACTTTTTCTTTCTCTCATTTATGAAATAAGTCTGATTTCTTTCTTTTTGTATATGAATAAAAAAAATTAAATAGTGATGTTCCTTTAACTCATCAAATTTAGTGAAATATTCCATAGAATTCACTGGAACACACACTAAAGATAAATCATTAAACTAAGTAAAGAAATCA